TTATTTCATACAATTCGAAGACTCATGCGATGAATTCGCTTGAATCACAAAGTGGGAATGTATGTAAGTGGTGTATTAAAATGTTAGCCACATAAAAATGGTTTCTAAAAAGGGAAGCATAATGCTGTGAGACAATTCGATGAAAATGCACAGCAGGAAATCGAAGCTGATCGATTTCAGTCGTTCATATCAATCATTAGAAATTACAAATTCACATTATTACTGTACGAAGAGAAACTTTCACTGGTGTTGTGATCATCATCTGTAGAGACGCCGCTGATGCTACAGTTTGTAGGGTGTTTGGCTTTGATATGCTCGTCAATAGATATGCTTGAGACTTCTTCGAGTTCACTTTATTCGGTAAACGGAGAGCAGATATATGATACAGTGTCAGGATAGGCTATTCTTAACCGATTGTTCCAGGCCCCGCTAACTAAAGCAAGAAGTATTGATAAGGAGTAGAGAATGTATTCTACAAGCACCCAGAAGATACGAGGTTGCTAAGCACACAAATCAGGCTTATTTATACAATGACTGCAACGCCCTTGGGAGAGCCACAAAATAGCGTACTAAAATAAACCATCCACTAACCCAATATCCAATATCTTTTTCACGAGCTAGTGTAAACCAATTTGATTTCTTCGCGCTCGATTCTTGTTCTTTCGGTACGGTTCCAGGTGTTCGGTAAAGTCCAATGGATGGAGGTCTAGCCACTCGACTGTCTAATTCTAGTCAGTTGGCAGTTGGTTGTGAGTTTGTATGTCTCGGAATTTGAATGAAACGTTTGTTTCAGGGCAGTAGGGTTTCTGGATACTAGCAGCCGTCACATTACCAAACCGGAGATCAGTTAGTTGCAATGTGGAGAGTAATAAGGGTAATAAGGGTAAATTAAAATGATAATTTGAGTAAAATTTCAGAACTGAGTAATATATAGATGAATTTAGTTTATTAATTGGTAGTGAAGATTGTGAGAGAGGACCGAAGTGTAAGCAAGGGAGAGGAATAGGCGAGTTAGATTAATTAAGTGATCTGAGGAGATGGCAATGGTAACAACTAGCAGGTCTCAAGATATGCATCAGGCACAGCTTGTCCAAGAGGGAGATGATAGTCCGCATGTGAGTACGTGATTATCAAGTCTCTTCTTAAAGCAGTCCACTGAAGGGGCTGTAACTACCTCGGCTGGGAGAGCATTCCAAGTTGCAACGACTTGCAATGAGAAAAAGTGTGCACGAACCTGAGTGTTTGCTCTTTGATGTGCAATCTTTTGACGATTGCCTCGAGGGGAGTGGTTGTGATGCATCGGTAATATGCTCACATTGGGATGGTTTGGCGTGTTTAATATGGTGTACGCCATAATCAGGTCACCTCTGATTCTCCTGTAGCTCAGTGGGAATAATCCCAAGAGCTGGAGTCTATTGTCGTACGGTTTATTTTTCAACCCTATCACCCATTTCGTTGCTCGTCTCTGCACTCGATCCAAGAGATTAATGTCTCTTTTAAGCAGAGGGGGTGCGATGACGTTGTGAACCTCCAGTCAAGGATTTTCCAAGTGGGAAATATATGCTAAATGTTAACTAATCGTCTTATGTGAGAAAATAAAAAATTCAAAATTTCAGAAATATATTACAAAATAAGGACAATTCCCAAGTGAGTTTTGTAGATCTAACCTCCTCAACAGGTTTATTTTGCCATTCGATTAGGCAGTCTGTTATGAGAGCTTGATTATTTACTCGGTATGTCGCAAAGAGGACTAATAGCTGCTAACTATTAAGGAATATGAATTGCAGTTCATCATTTTAAGATTGTGAAACGTGATAAATTTAGTTGGAGATTGTCCTCAGTCTTCATAATTTTAATCCATAACCTTATTCAAGGTACAACTCACGCATACCAGATCAGCGAAAGGACTAGTGTGAGGGTGAAATGCTATCAACTAGTGAAGGACGATGATCGAAATGTGGATGATGTCAGTTTGAGATTGATGTAGACTCACAGGACACCCGTTTGCCTTGATAAACTACCTGAGAGTTCACATTTGAAAGTATTCAGGTCAGTCTGGTTTATCGAGTTAACCTGACAACGTTACAATGCAAGGCTTCATGTCGTATTTGTGCTCAAGTCTTGCAGTCAAGTACGTCATGGTCGAACTACAAAATTTTTTCGAACCAACTAGCTTCACAGTAATCCTTCCACTCAATTGTCGGACGATATATTCGAGACCTAGCAAACAGTAATTGAACCCTCTTCGAACTGGGGTACTTTTGAAGCCTCGTTTTACATGTGCATCTGTGATGGTGGATAATCCATGTGATACTAAACTCCGTAGAGAAGCGTCATGAAAACCGCTACGATTAAACACGGAACTTTGTCATAATTCACTTCATAATGCAAATATATAGCGATCCAAACAGCACTCGAATTCAGTGCAAATTTATAATAGTCCATCCTGTCTGTTATCGAATTATTTAAATGACTAATCAATAAAGCTAACTTATGTGGGGTGTTATATATTATCATTATTGCACTGACACATTGACAGGCTAATTCAATAAACGTAACTGACCTAATTGTTTTACATCGAAATCACGTGTAAATGATTGTTAGACCACCATTAGAAACATCAAAGCACTTGACAGCCATTTCCTTTTTATATAGGACTTATCAAAATAGCGCATTCGCGAATCATGCTACTAGCAGCATTCAAACCAGGATCTTCGGCATTGCACGTGAAAACCTAAGCTCCAGATCACTGAGGTGGCTTCCAACCTTGGTAATGTCTCATTCTGATCAGTCTAATGATTTTGCACGACCTTACCGGTTGTCTACGGTAGTTATTATCGACACCTGACTGGTTTGAACTCCACTGGTCACATATTCTCACTAAGACTCCGAGAGCCTCACGAAGCCAGTCACCAGAGAGCATATATATACCATTCCATTACTGAATTAAAACGAGATTTATCTTTATACTAAAGCCATACTTATTGCTGTACAATTGTCATTCAGGCTAAGAAGTACAGTCCTTCAAGTGGTCGCTTCAACATCATAAGTTCTGTTTCATGTCCCTATATGACGTTAGGGAAACTGCAGTTCAAATCTGCTGATGGACCTTGAAACATCTTCAAAAATATTTGTAGAGTATCGAAAACTGCGGGAAACGTTGAACTCAATCAGCATTGAATAAAACTTCTGCAGGAATCCTACAGGCAATGCAGAATCACGTGCCACAACTCCTATTGTATATCAAACAACACTACTATGATATTCAGCATGATTCACAATAACATATCTTGTGTTCATTTAGCAAACGTATCAGAATCTTTTCAAGAGCACCAGTAGTCACTTGATGATAAGTAAATGGAATTTTAATGCACCTAATGCTTCTTTTAATTTGTATATAATGATCTGATATGAATTATATAATATTTTCATATAACTAAGTTTTTTCTGATGAAGAATGCTTTTTAAAATATTCGTGAAAATTTTTATTGTTACTGTTTCATAAGTGAGTTTTTATCGTTGCAACAAGGAATTTAATATATACGTATATACGCACGAATTTCAGAACATTAGTTACAATTATACAAAATCGACGTTCAATTAACGATGAAACGATTTAATGGTGCAGTATAGAAGTGATAATTTTAGACGTAATATATCAGCGGAGGCTATTTATTATTTCATTGAGCTCTTTATTACTGATTCATAATAAGTAGATGAAATATCCAACCAATTTCTTCTATCAAAATTCATAGGTTTTGTGTTTAGTCTTCAATGACCATTTCAATAACACTCACGATATCGGTACAGCATCTCAAATTACGAATCACTAGATTTCTCCTTCTTCCTAGTTTTCAGGTATTGTGTAATAAGTAGTGACGACTACAAAATGAACAGACCGAAATCATTCTTCTATATGCAATTTATCCTGTTGGCTGCGTTAGATTCGACGTCGGGCTCACCACATTGGTAGCCCACTATCTGGCTCCAATACCTATGACTTCTTCGAGTATACTATGAAATAAATCTCCCCAACGGTTTCCGTATATTATACTTCGGCGAACCCCGTTTGTGCGACGGTGGTAATAAGAAGCCGAATACGGATTCGGTTGGATGAGTTTATTTCAGGCGATCATTCATGCAGACATAATAACAACAAGCATAGAAGTAAAGCAAACAGAGAAGTAGAGAAGGAGAGATATCCAACTCGACTGGATAAAGCATGACAAAAAATTTTTAGTCAGACAAAATATTATATATGTGGATGTGGTCTTCATTTCAACCAAGAGAAATTTATTATTGTTTTTCTAACGCAGAAGATCTACAAAATTGTTTTATTGTTTGCCAAAGTATTACATATCATGTAAATCACTTTGACAATAAACTGCTATCTAAGCTTCATCCACAATATAAAGGACAATTCAAAATGTAAACAAATTTATGACCTCTAATGAATATTTCAAATAAAAACGCCTTTTTATGTAACTAATACACCTGAATTACATCAAATCACTATTTACAGATATAAAAATATGTTTTTTAAACAACGATGTATCATTTACAATGAAAGGATGTAGTGTCACAGTGTCAAATCATGATTTAGAGTATAAATTGAATTGAACGCTGTTTATTATTTCTTGGAGCTTTGAACTACTGATTTTTATTTATTAGTTGATATATCCAATCAGTTGCTGAAATGACCTATTTGTGTTACAATCTATCATGCATGCCTCATTTTCTGTGTGGAGAAAGGATGAGAGAGTGTGTCTGTGTCAATATAACTGTTACCATTATGTTAGACGTCTTGAACAATACTTATGAGTCATATTTCTGAACATTCTAAAGAATCCTTTCGACTTCATTTCAAATGATGCTTGAATACGTTATCAATAGTAAACTTTTAAAAAAAGCAAATAATTATCAATCCATTAGCTTTGTGAATTGACTGCAATCAGACTAGATGGCACAAAACGCTATCTCAAAAGAATAAGCTATATGTTTCTTGACTCGACCTCGCCTTACCCACTTTGTCTACACATCAGTGCCACATTGTTAATCCTCACATAGGCTGTATTTGTATGAGACTCATTGGCAGAGGTCATCCACGACTCCTGCTACACGCAGGATTCGAACTCAGGACCTTCGGTAGGACACCGGTCATCAGTTGGAATGAGCTTGTGAACTGCCCTCCTTATACAATTTTGCTGTTGAGTTCATCATAGAAATTCCATAGGATTCTGAGTGATTTCTCAGGCACACCGTAGTGTCGAAGAAGCCCTCATTATATCAACCTGTTCACAGTATCGAATACTTTCTCAAAGGCAAGGAAGTTGATTCATGGAAGTGAATCCCATCCAACTGATTGTTCCACAATGATCCGTAGTGTCGCGATTAGGTTGGTACACCATCCAATTTTACAAAATTCATCCTAATGATCGCGAATTAGGGCATTTTGTTTAATAATACTCTGTTGTTTCAGCAGTTCGTACACTTACTACCATCTCGTTTCTTTGATAAACTGATGAGGTAAATACAAAAACCTTTGAAAATTATGATCAAACGAAGATCTATTTATGACAGTATAAAAGAATACATAAAATAGTAGTCAGATATTCCATTGGTCAATATATATGCGTTGTTGTTTACGAGCATCAACAAGTGAATAAGCAAGGTCATGTGAAATATCTACTTCATTCATTTTGAATTGTTAAACAATCATTCACTAGTTTGAGTAGAGCGGGATTTTCTAGAGCAGCTGCAACACGTTCTTTATCAGCAAGTTGTTTGTTAATTTCATCTTCTGAATTATGTGTACCAGGTTTCACCTTGACTTCAATCTATGGTAGAAAAGAAACAAGAAAAACAATAATGGAAAAAGTCGTAATCCTACCCAACCACTTACGCCTGTTATTCTCCGTACAGCATAGGCCGGGAGAAAATGGAGGTTGGGACTACGTCAAAGTCATTAGTTACAAACAATGCAAAATCCGGTATATGATGAAGTGGTGAAACTTCACCAGTTGAGGTAGTTGGGACATGTGTTGCGTATGCATAACCACCGACTGCCTCGACGAGCTTTGTTTTGTTGTGTAGGAATAGGTTGGAAGAAAGTTAGGGGCGGCCAAACCAAAACATGGCAGAAATCCATGAAGTCATTGACTAGTGGACTGAGCCACATCGGTAATTGTCGACTACCTGGTTGGGGTCCGCGAGATGATAATAATCGATGGTTAGAGACCTTGAATGACATGGCTCAAAATCGTTCGCAATGGCGCCGGTGCATTTATTCTCTGTGTTCTCTCAAATCCTAATCTTCTGGATTTTTCAACACCTCTAGTTTCGACTTTCTAAACTTTTCTCACTGAATCATACCTCTTGAATAGTATCTTCTAATCCTAACCTCTCCCATTACTTCTAATTCCCTTACTACCTCTCCTACTATTGGATTTGAATTGACGATTACTTCTCTGTGCTGATGTGGTATGGCAACATGAACTGATGTACTTACGTATGAAGTTCTACGTTGCATCTGACTGACTGACTGATTTGATGAATATCCTTAAACTGACTCAGTCCACTAGTGCCATATTTCGATTTGATCGCCCATAGCTTTCTCCTAACCTATTCCGACACTATAAAACATCGCTCGTCGAGCAAGTCAGAGGTCGGACATTCGTAAAACATGTCCCAACCACCTCAACTGATGAAGCTTCGATACTTCATCTAATGATTTGCCATCTCTGCCTAGTACTCGTTTCCTAATGACAGCATTGCTTACTCGCTTGACTCAGGATATACGAACAATGCTTCGAACAAATCTATAATCGAACACTAATAACATACGAATATCTTCAATTCTTACCAGCCATGTTTCGCAGCCATATAGTAGGACGACATCTCGCCTACGCCATACGTGACGCAGATTGGCGGAAGTCAATCGAGCCTGATGAGACTCCCAAGATAAGTGAAGCGGTCGACACGCTCGACTACTTCATTCCCTATCACTGTTAGAATCATGGCATAGAACTGTTCGAAATTAACTTAGTTTGATGATAATATTTTCATGCAAATAATATCACTACAAAATGTAGATAAAGGAGAGAATCTCACCTGAAAGAGAAGATTTCGTTATCAACTCACTTTAAATCGTCGAGGAAGTGAACGAATTAATTTCACTTTGATGGCCAATCCAATCAGAGTAGCCATACTGCAACCGGGAATTGTCGGTGAATATTCAATACAAACCCAACTTTCAGCATCATTCATATTAATCCAATCATCAGTCACTACGCCTAATACTTCAAGACTATGAGGATGTTCAGGATCTCGAATATCACGAATATGATCTAAAATATTTAATTTATGATTGGAAAAAATAACATATATTACTACACATATTGAAATAGTATAAATTATGTTAGTATAAATAATAGAATTTTCTTTTTTCTTTCTTCAATTTTAGCAAGCCATTGTGAAAATCATAACGAATATGGTAAAAAAAAGACTATCATTGAATAAAGATAATTAACTTGTGAAACAAATCTAATTGCGATTACTTAAAAGTTTATTCAACGTTAAATAATCAACTGTAAATGTAGGAATGAAAGAACAACCGTTAAAGAACACAACACATCCCAGTTAAAAGTTTTGAATTCAATGGGGTTCGTACACTTCGAACGTGAAAAAGTTGTGACTAATACCATTGTATAACTATTATGCTTTATCCTGAATATCTAGGAATTCCGAATTGTAGTAGGTTGAGAGAAACTAGACACAACTAGTTTCAATGCTCAGAAGCGTTAGGTGAGAGATGATAAACAAGGCTGGCTGTTGGACGAAGTCGGTGCCTCAGCTCATGTTGTCAAGGGATATATTTATATTATTGATTTGTGCACATAATCACTCAATAGCCAATTACAAGTTTTTATTCATTATTTGTCCTCTTACACAAATGTCATATTGGTCTAGATTACGGCAAGTGTATATATCTGCACGTGATCGGATGACAACAGATGAAACAAATTCTACTATTGGATGCCCAGTCAGTAGTTCGACATCCTTGATTATGTCGTAGATGAGCACTGGTGATGAGTTTGATACGAGGAAGAAACAGTTGACCAGTGCTCTCTGATTTACAACAGTAACTCGAGTGAGATAACTATGAAATGAACACAACTCATATCGTTCAAAGCAAGAAGTAACAGTCCATTCATACGCAAGAATAAAAATGAAGAAAGACAAAAAAAAAAAATTGAAATGAAATATAACTAACCAAATATTTCTGCTCTATCAATAAGTTGACGTTGACTATCCCATTCAAAGTTATCAATATTTAATGGTAATCTATTTAGCCTAGGCTTTATCGGTACATGTAATACTGGATTAATATTTTCTAGCATAGAAAAGAGAATTTCTAAATTTTCAAAAAAAAAAATAGAGTATTATTAAGAAACGAGATGCCTAAATCATTTACAATATTAACAACGACAAGTAAATTGTAAATAACGTGAAAATACAATGTGAAAGTTAGTCTTGTCACAAACTGATGAGTTGAAAACTGACGAAATAGACGCACTAGACGACTGTTTCATTTTAGTTCATAAATCCATTCCTCTTATCAATGTACACCGACTATTCTGTAGCAGATGAAACCCAAGATCCGTTTGTCCACAATTTTATTCAGTGTCATACTCACCTCATCTCATCTATGAGTGATATACAATTGATTTGGTTAGTTGAAACAAACTATTTCCTGTGTCTATTCGTAATGCAGGTGTTATTGGATGTCTCTTGGTACCAACCATAACTCAATTCTTCCACGTTATAAAATTCGTATATACAAACACAAATAAACACTTCAAGCTATTTAAAAGATAACGGGAACTGAATCAATTAAGTACTCTCTCACGTTGAATATCTTGATGCACATTCATTTACAACAACCAGGTGTCCCACAACTAAGAGAGGTTAGAGACTAAAGACTACCTGGTGAAGATCAATGTAACAGTGGCAACCCATGGTTTGATACTCGGAATAACGTGTTTCAAAATCGTTTGCAATGGCGTTTAAGCATACATTCGTTGCTGTCTGCCACAAACTAAGTTCATTATTTTTTGGTGGTTTTTCACTCTTTACACTGGTTTGAACCTTGCGTATCTTGGACCCCTAATCTTTCCATTAACAATAAGCCTGCTATAATATCCAATACTCTAGATTCTAACCTAACAGTTTCATCTCTCTATGTCAGTATGATAAAGTAACTTGAAATAAGGATCTACGAATGTACCATGTTCTATGCTGTAAGCGACTAATTGATGAATAACAATGTCCACATAGAACCATTGAATGTAATGTGAAACATTTAACATATAATTTAAGGATTGTACGCTGAACGGCAATCGAAATGTTAAGGAAATAAATTATATACACACAAATTCACTAAATTACAATACAAATTATCATCGACATAGTGGGTAGTGACAAAGCAGTGAAACACATTGAGTCACAAAATTTAGTAGGTAAAGAATGATATTTTGATAGTTCAACACGGACATTGAACATTTACAAACTAAGAGTTATACTGGGCAGAAAGTTCAGTTTCAATGTAAAGCCGTGAAACGAGTCTTTTTGAAAGTCGATGGCATGTATTTATAGGCGGCAAGTGTTTATTCATAGTTATTTTCAAAGCATTGATCCCTTATGCAAAACTACCGATTGAACACTGCCGACATTAAACAACAATTGTCGAGACGGTTGACAATGTAACGAATCGTCAGTTGCTAAAATGAGTTATTGATGACTAACCACTAGTTATCTTGAACGGTGATGTTGGATGGCGTAAACGTCGGTCAGGAGAAAGCTAGAGGCGGTCTAACCACGATATCAAACCAATTAACGAAGTCGGTGACCGTTGGGCTGAGCCATTTGGGTAGGTTCAAACTGATTATGTAAGATTCACGCAATTACCGTGAATGATGGTTGAATGTGTTGGATGAGATGATCCACAACATTCTTTTGTATACTATCCTGTCGTCACATAGTATAAATATCTAATCTTTTCTGCTACTTCTGAAATTTTTACTCTATTGGGATTTGCTTAGATAATTTCCTCTCTCTATGCATATATCATATGGCGAATTGAACCGATACATAGATATGGAAGTTTCTACGCTGTACGCGACTGTTCGACTACTGTTAGCAAGTAATCAGGAATTAATTCATGCATTCCGAGTTTTATAATTGGGAAGCTCTTGTGATATGTTCTTTTATGATAGTTAACAGTTATTCACACTAAAGTTGGTGAAGTGACGTTGGAGTAAGCAATCCTGATAAACAAAGATAAACAGATAAATTACTTCTTGAATAATATCTTCTAATCTTAACCTCTCCGATTACTTCTAATACCCTTACTAACTCTTCTAATATTGGATTTGAATTGACAATTACATCTCTGTGCTGATGTGGTATGGCGACATGAACTGATGTACTTACGTACGAAGTTCTACGTTGCAACTGACTGACTGACCAATTTAAATGAAGTAAAATATATACTAATAAAACAAAGTAGATATATAAATACATTGTACAATGTGAGTAAATAGTGAGATGTTTTTGCCGAGGGGACCTTTAACTTGTTTGAAAATTATGCTGCAGGTCCGAGTTAATTAATCATGAAAATAACTAAACTTGACTCTTCTGTAGTATTAGGCATCGAAAATGCAAGACTAGCAAAACATACTGGGTCAAAAATATCTGTATTGCTTCGATTTATTGCACTTCATGAAAAGTAAAAGAACTAAAACTCATATTAGGAAATGGTAACAGAATAGACTAAAAGGGGATAGAGGCAAGTAAAAACGGATAAAAAAGTGTAAATTAAATTTATGTTTAGATAAACTTAAGATCCCAAGGCAGTCAAAATAGTAAGTCTCTTCTACGAAGATCCGTATCTAATAACAACATGACATTCAGTCAGTCAGTCAGATGCAACGTAGAACTTCATACGTAAGTACATCAGTTCATGTTGCCACACCACATCAGCATAGAGACATTATTGTTCATTCAAATCCAATAGTAGTAGAGGTAGATAAGCAATCAGAAGTAATCGGAGAGCTTAGGATTAGAAGATATTATTCAAGAAGTATGATTCAGTGAGAAAAGTTTAGAAAGTCAAAACTAGAGGTGTTGAAAAATCCAGAAGATTAGGATTTGAGAGAACACAGAGAATAAATGCACCGGCGCCATTGCGAACGATTTTGAGCCATGTCATTCAAGGTCTCTAACCATCGATTATTATAATCTCGCGGACACCAACCAGGTAGTCTACATCTGCCAACATGACTCAGTCCACTCAGTTTCAATACTTCATCTATTGATCTGCCATTCTTACGTAGCACCCGATTCCTAATAACAGCGTTGCTCACTCGGGTGTCCCAGGATATACGAGCAATGCTTCAAAGACACCTATGATCGAAAACCAATAACCTACGAATATCTTCTACTCTTAACGGCCATGTTTCACAGCCAAAAAGTAAGACGAAGCGAACTACTGCGCAGTACACTCGTCCTTTAGTCAGCTATTGGATATCTCGCCTACGCCATAAGTGACGCAGGTTGGCAAAAGCCAATCGAGCCTTCTGCATCCGTGCTGAGATTTCGTCAGTCATCAGGCCATCGGCACTGATGAGACTCCCAAGATAAGTGAAGCGTTCGACGCGCTCGACTACTTCACTCCCTATCACTAGTTCAGGTGCCGATGCAGCCCAGCTTTGAAACAACATTTTGCATTTCGCCGGGGAAAACCACATACCGAACACGCTTGCATTGTTGCTTAGGGCAGTCAGAAGAAAATGAAATCATGAATATTAGGAAAATTAAAATAAAAATGATGAGCGTTTTGCAGAGCATACAAACGATGAGATTACACAAAAAATGAGCCTATTTTAGATAAAGCAATCAGTATGTTAGATACTTTTTATGACAACCAACAGAGTGTGAGAGGCGATAACCAGCTGAAATTATTTCTAAGTCTATTTAAACAAAATAAAATACCATGAATTGCTTTTGCACTACTGTATTGAACGAGAACACAGGTGGGGAAACCGAATTGTATTTAACGAAAATTACAGAGTTACTCAGTAAATTCGGATAACCATATCGTAAATCATTAATTTGCAAAATATCAGTCCATCATATCGAACTGGACTGTTCCTGTTGCAAAACATCAATCCATTGTCACTATTCATGCGTTTCATACAAATTCCATTGTGTTCTAACTCTTCCTTTCTTGATCTTCCCCCATCTTCTGATGCCAGACATTACGTTGACACTCACGTCATATACTACTTATAAGTAGCTCGCACCACACTACTACTAATAAACAAACAGTCAAGTAAGAATAATAATGAAAAGTCGAAAACAACAACTTTCCCCAAGTCACCGAATTTATTGAACAATAAATGATACAGAGCAGATAGTTAACAGAATGTGACACGAATGCATGATATGGTCAAGATCTGAATTGAGCTGCATCATTTGGTTCTTGAACATTCGCTTCATGTATTCGTCGTTCTAATGTATCCAATGTCTTGTTCATCTAGAAAAAAAACAGAGAACAGCAGTGACAGAAAACACTGTGTGTGGATGATATCGATTAGTTTTGGGGCAAAGTTTCAAAACTCAAGATCGAATGGAAGATGAAAGCAGAACCCAATATGTGCTATTGTGATCAATTTTTAGCCATTTCTACTCAACAGCAACCGCTGGTCACGATAGTCATGTCCATACTAGCAAACATGCATCACAGACCAACAGTCAGAGATGTTATGGGCTGATGTCTCGTTACAGTATGATTGACTTCAAGCTTTCGGCTTACCTACGGCTACGCGCCAATTAGTACCGTGCGTCTAGGGAGGGGCAATGGTTGGGCAGAATTAATTTTATACCTTAATCACTTTGAACTAACCTGGTTAAACAAGAGATTGAAAAATAGCTAGATTGGTAAAATTATAAAAATACTATGATTTACATAGCCAGTACAGAGGACAATCAATTTTATTGTCACACATAATATTTAAGACCAACATATGACACAATTCAGTCAACCATTTTACATAACATAATAAATAATTTGGATTATTGAAGATTCCCTTTGATTCTTTTTAACTTGTCTTAGTTATGAATATTGGAACATATGAAAATGAAAGTACTGCTTCGATTGTTCTCTATCTTAAACAGCATGAAAACTAACTATTGTATGGTATGATAATGTTGAATGGTGCTCATCCGCGCCAGCATATCTGCGTCAGATTCACTTTGTTTATCAATGATGCTGCCCAGATATCTAACGGTTTTCACCGCCTCCAAAGCTTCACCTTCAAATGTGAATTGATTGGTGCATGTTATGTTGTATCGGAGGGTCACGCTTTTCCTTTGAGTATGTCGAAACCTACTGCTGCTACATTCGTAGTCTTCTCTAGTATTTGTCATTGTGTGTGGGATTGTTTAACGCTTGCTTAGATAATTCCCAGCTAAATCCTATTGCTTAGTATTCTCTGACCATAATACACTGGAAAAGTTCGCAAGAATCAAAAACACGGTTGAACAGGAAAAGATTATACTCTAAATTGCAAGGCTAAATGGAAATAAGAAGCCAAATGTGATAGCGAAGACGAAGGCAAAAATAGATATAACGTTAGTCTATTTATAGCGTTTACATGAAAAACTTCTGGATAGAAATTCACGTGACCGAATGGATTAGATTTAACCAATCAGCACGCAGCTAACAATATGAGAATCATCTACCCTGTTCTCCAAGATTCGATCAGGCGCTGATTGGATAGGAAATTAGCTAATCAGCGCGCAGCAACGCAGTGGTGGTGATGCATCGGTAAGATGCTCACATTGGGATGGTTTGGCGTGTTTAATATGGTGTACGCCATAATCAGGTCACCTCTGATTCTCCTGTAGCTCAGTGGGAATAATCCCAATAGACGGAGTCTATCGTCGTAGGGTTTATTTTTCACCCCTATCACCAATTTGGTTGCTGGGTCTCTGCACTCGATCCAAGAGAATAATGTCTCTTTTAAGCAGAGGGGGTGCGATGACGTTGTGAACCTCCAAGTGTGGGCGCGCGTACGTCTTAAACAGGGTTGAAAATAATTTCCGGGTGATAGCACCAAGCTGTCTTCGCATAAAGTGAAGGGTCGCATATGTGGAGAAAAGTCTTTTGGATATCTCATTGCCGACAATAATTGAAGAAGCTGAACCGGTGATATTTATTATTTAGTCTTTGTTGTTTCCTTTCTGTTGGATTTCAATTGCTGTAATGAGTTGTCGTAAGAAATCAAACACGACGAGGGATGGAGCCCATGAAGAATCGCGGGATACGAGGCAAGTACCTTATGATACTTCATTTTTAAAGGGTTCACTCTCGGATAAGGATGATATTATGCTTAGTACTAATTCTCGTAAGCCATCATTAGAGGGTACTAAAGGACGCACAGCAACGCAGTCATGCTTTAATTCCATCTATGTCCCACTAATAACAGGGATATAAGGGCTAGATCATCTGCGAAGTTCAAATCGTCCAGCTGCATTCCGGCTGTTTACTATATTATGTGCTTCGTTCCAAATGTTGACGTTTTCACAAGTCAGTAGATCACCAAGAGTCTGTTAACTGTTCCCCATGCACGATTTCGCAGTTTGATACATCATAAGAATTTCGTATGATGTTGACTATCTTCTCAGACAAGCCGTGGTGTCGAAGAAGTGTTGTCCTGTCCACAATATCAAATGGTTTCTCGTAGTCAATGATGTTGATCCACAATGATCCGTAATATCACGATTCAGTCAGTAGATAATCGATCATTACAGAATCCAGCTTGTTGGTCTTAAAGCAGGTCATCTACATAGTAATTCATTCTGTTTACCAACATCTTGTTAAAGACTTTTCCTGGTATTGAGAGAAGAGTCATATCTCTGTAGTTTCCACAATTCCTGACACTGCCTTTGTTTGGTATCGAAATGAGGTGCTCTTTTTTCCAATCTTGTGGTGCCTCTTAAGACTGAGTACCTCAAAACATGCTGAAGTTATTGCTTCCATTTCCAGCTGTTTTATTCATGGCAGCTTCCTCTTTATCAAGAAGATCGTGATAAGGCTTGGAGCTGATTGCTGAGAACTATCTTGGATTCGTTGAGTTTGTTAGTATCTCGAATAGGGGTCATATAAAACTTTTGTGATGCTGTTCGACCAGTTGTGCAATATTTATGGAGTTTCAGTTTCATCTTAGCCACAATCAAGTGGTGGTCTGAAGCTATGTCAGCTTCTATCTTGGCTCGCACTTCTTCCATGGTCATTGTGCATTTTTTATTGATCTAAATGTGATGGATCTAGTTCACCGTACTGTGATTCGGGGAAGCGCACGTCACTCTGTGCATGCGTTGTAATAGAAGATAGTACCGCCTAAGATTAGTTTTTTGAAGGCACAGGTTTTCTGCATATTTACAATAGGATCATTCAAACTTTTACAAACAGATAACAGGATAGTTCGAAAATTCAAAGTAACAAATATATCGCAAATAGTCTCACCTGTTGTAATTGTTCAATGTGAAGAATGAAATATTCTGAAAATCTCCTATCAACAGTTGTATCAGCTACATAAATTGTACAACCATCAACATAGAAATCTAAGTGTGGATGCATTTGGGGAGAACTGTTTAAATCGGAGCTGAGTGATGTGCCAAAACCACTGCCATCTGCTGCAGCATCAATAGCTTGATTCATGGCTTGTTTTAGCCGATACTTGTAAGCCATTAGTTCCATATGCAGTGCTGGTTCAGACTATTATTTAAAGAGACGTTGACCAGCACAGAATAATAATAATAATAATAATAATAGTAATACGATGAGTGGTAATTTCAATGAAACATAAGAATGGGAAATACAGTCAAATGCACTGAGTAGGAATAGATATGAGGCAGTCAGTTTATGACATAATCTCATGATATGCAAGAAAGTTGCATACGATTGGTATTTGTTGGTTGATCACAACTCCTTACAACGACAAAAACAAGACATGCATCAGCCTAAGAATTTATTGTCTGCTGAGCTGAATAATGCAAATAGGTCCAGGCAATCTCACTGGAGTCTACATGATTATTGTAACTAACGGTTAAAGACCTTCCATGACATAACTCTAGATCATTTGCAATCGCACAGGTACATGCACTCTCTGTCTTTGCTTGGGCAATAAGTTTGTAGGTTATTCCAACTATTCAACGAATCCGTAGTTTTTTCTTGAATCGCATTTTCCGTGCCTAATACAGTCACTACTCATTCCACTCAGTATTCTTGGTGTTTC